GATAAATTTACTGCAATTTTGGTCGAGTATAAGAACTTACGTACTTACGTAGAAACTTGGTTGAAAATTTTCGAAGCTGAGCAATGATAATATGCTTCCATTGACCATTGTACATTCCTTTGCTATTTTTCTGCCACGTGAATATATATGAGGTATTGAGGTGGCTTTCCCTAAGGAAACAATGTTTTGCAGTCTGCCCCATCCATTTAAATGCCATATGTTCTGACAATGGCAATGCATTATCAAATGTTTCATTACCCAATGCACATCAGGTGGTGTTTGTAACTGATTCTGCTTCTTTTTTAAAGTAGAAGCAGAATCAGAATTAGTTTTCACAATCTGGTCTCCCCCAACTTCTAAAAAAACTGATTCCAGGAGTAAATTAGGGCAGCAGAAGTACTTCTGCATTTCCACCCAAACACTACAACTTCTGCTTCTACTCTGCGAATGAGCAGAAGCAGTTTTAAGAGTCAGATCCAAACACCCCCATATATGACTTCAGCGAATCAACAGCCTTTTGAAGGTAAAAGTCTTGTAAACAGAGCACGTATGGAGATTAGCTCAATGACTTGCACAACTTTGGCAATTGCACCTTTATGATGATTATTTATTTATCATTAGTGTTAGTATTTATTGTTATTATTATTCTTATTCAGGTAAGAAAGTCTATGTGCCGAATCAAACATGTGCTCACAGAGAGAGCAATTGATGAGCCAGATCCTAGGAGGTGTAGTGAGATGAAAAGAATGATAAATGCCCTGTGAGAAGAATGATGGCTGTGTTAAAAAGAATGAATGACAGATGCTGTCAGTTGATCCAATGGCAGATGGACAGGTAGTTTAAGAGTCATATCCTTCTGTTTCAAGAATTTTGTACTGCCCAGATGATTTATTGGAGCTATGACTTGCTCTTCTAAACACATTCTTTGCTTGCTCATGTATCTGAAAATGGATGATATGTTTGAATAATGGACGTTTTTTTATTTGCCTGATGTCATCCATCTCCTTTGGTGGGTAGAACAAAAGAGGTAAACAGTTTGTAGACGCATTATTTGCTTTCCTATATATTGTGAAAATGGATGATTTGTTTGAATTGTGGAATATTTTTTATTAAAGAAATTGCTCATTGAAGGACTAAAAAATATTATGTATTATTTTTCCCGAAAATAGAATGAAATGTTTGGTTTTCTTTAAATAAGACTAAACATTACATTTATATCTCTAATTTAATTAATTAATTAACCTTATTAATTGCTCCCTAATTCTCTTGCATAGCGGCAAACTTTGGTGGTATTTTTGTTCAATCGCAAATAAAGAAGACATGTTTATGGAATTTTAAATAATAGATCTTATTTTTGAAAATGACATTATTTTAGTCTTATTTTGGTAAATCTTCCCATTTTATTTGCGTGATGACATCCATCTCCTTTAGTGGGTAGAATAGAAGAGGCAAACACTTTTTGATGGAGTGATGGACTAATCAAGAACCTGATAATTTATATGGGGCTTAATTGAATTTACCGCCAAAGCCATGTCAATCTAAAATTGAGGCCTAAAAGATACCATCTGTATCACTTTAGTTGTCTCACATTGGTTTTCAGGACATCAAATTAATTGTCTCATTTTCCTTTTTGAAAAGAAATTCATGCAAGCAACTATGGTACCACTATATTACTAAGAGAGTGTTTGCGATTGCTTGTGCTTTTTAAAAGTAATTTTTTAATAGATTATTGGAAAAGTGATTGTAGTAAAAGTTGGTAATGTTTAAAAGTAGAAGTGATTTTAATAAAAATGTTAAAGTTGGAGTGTTTGGTAAAAAAGTGCTTTTTAATGTAAAGTTTTATCAAAGTACAAAAATACCCTAGGCAAAGTTTTGATAGGAATCTGCAGAAACCGAAGTGGGCATGTCCAAAGTTTATGATGATGCTTGCTCTTTCGAAGAACCCTGAAACAATTTCACCCAATTGTCTCTCTATTCAAAGAACCCCTCAAATGGTTTCAAAGAATATGCGCCTACCAATTGTCTGTCTGTTCAAGTTGTTAGAACCTGTTCTTAGGCATTGAGGAATTTGCAATTACAAGTTACAACACCTGGGTGAGGCAAAGTGCAGAGGCGAGAAATATATTGATACATTATTTTATATATGGAGCTGATCGAAAATGAATCTTACATAAAATTATTAACTAATTTGCACATCTCCTTTTAGGCTTTTAGCAAACAAAATCCAAATCAACTACACCAAGCAACCAAGGTTGTCATAGCGGAGGAAGCAGACGCGGCCACAACGTAGGAAGAGTTACCGGAGGCAACGACTTACGCAGTATGTCTATGTGTGTATACATGAAGATGGCCTGAAGCTTTGAAAATGGTGAAGGAAAGAGAAAGGGAGGTTGTCTACGAAAATGGATGAAGGACAATTTAGACTTTAGCTTAATTCTTACTCCATTATAACCATCCTCAAAGTTGTTATTATTTACAAAAATACCAAGAAGCAGTTAGAAGCACCCATATACCAACATCCAACTTTTAGCTTTTAAGTGCTTAATTTAAGTAGAAGTAGGTGTTCGAAAACACCAAATTTAACTTTTTTAAACTAAGAGCAGAGAAACACTTTTTTTAATCAATGGCAAACACTCCATAAATCCTCTTATTTTTATAGTGTACAAAAACTATCTTAAATTACGTGAAAAAGCAAACGAGACAACTAAAATGACACAGAGTGGCAGAAAACCTTTAAAATGGGCTAAATGTACTCTATGCACCTTTTTATTATATGAGTGTGAAGTAATTTTTTACTTTGTGTAAGTAATCTATATATACCAATACCAAACTGAGACGGGCCGAGATTGAGCTCAGTGTAGATTAATCTTCATCCCTACATTAGGTGAAATTAAGGTTTATTGTACCTGGATGTTCACTGCAATTTATTTAATCATAGGGTATTTCTATTCACAAAACACATTTTTGCTATTTAAAGCCACATACGTTTATTTCTCATTATACCCTTACTAATTAAATGAAGCCCACAACCTAGCAAGCCAGTACTTAACCGGCGCTCTTCGGAATATTAAGAAGACTGGCCACGTTGATGTTACTTTTACCTTTGAAGTCGGTTGTGGTGCTGTACGCCGGTAGGAGCACTTGCAACAGTTGCAAGAATCTATCACCGGAAACAGGGCATTGGGTATATCGTCATAAGCCATCAATTGTGAACTTCAAGTGATGAGAGCAGAATTTATGAATATACGGAGTCTGTCCTTTTGCTTCACTTCTTACCAAAGAAAAAGGAAGACTTGCTAATTCGATTCAATCTCTGTCAAAATCTGGGTTTAACATCCGTAGGCTTCTAAATGCAAACCATTGAAGATGATTCTCGGGGTGAAAACCTTGAAACCTTGACCTGTCAATTATACAATAGTTGAATTTGCAGGAGAAGATAGAGGCTTTCTAATAGACTTGTGAGTTCCGCAGCTGCGCTCTGGGAGTTTGTATACCTGTCTCGAAGAATAATTTGGAGATAGTGGAGTGTGCACACAAAGCTACGGACTATAATTCTATTCGTGGTAAAGCAAGTCTTATGGAGGACAATTGGGTTGTGGAAGAAGACGGCGATGTAAACTTCTATTGGGCGAAGGATATAATTGGATAACGGATTATTTTATTTATTTGGTTTAAATATTGTGGTTGTAATTAGTAAAATGAGGACTGTGAATAGAATTACCCTAATCATATTTGATACTTCAGCCCACCTCTAATCGTATGTAACATTTTAACCCTGTTGTTATTCTTACTCCCAACAAATGAAAAATATTACTGTGTTTCTTTATACCGAGTTTGACTTCTCTTTTCGATTTCTACTGGATGCCTACATCCGGTGAAATAAAAGCTTACCATCAAAACGCAATAAAATTGCTTCTGCTTCTATAGGAAACAAGATATTAGAGTGTTTGAGTGAAATTGCAGAAGTACTTACGAGTGTTCTAAAATGCTACTAGAAGCAATCTTTTAGAAGTAGGGGGAGATCAGCTTTTGAGAACTGATTTTGATTCTACTTCTCATTTAAAAATGCAGAAATAGAATCAATTCTAAACACCCCTTAACCCCACCCCCATAAATAGGGGTGGGCATAACGGTTTGGTTTAACCGGACCATATTAAACCAAACCGAACCTAAACTGATAAAAACCGAACAAAACCGAATTAAAGACATTAAAAAAATCCTTCATATTTTATTAAAAAATAACAAATCCAAACCGAATCATACCGAACTAAACTGAACCAAACGGAAAAATAGTATGGTTTTTGTCTAGTAATAATTCTCCCAACCCGTTCCAAACCAAACCGAACCGAAATCGATAAAACCGAACCGAAACACGATATGCCCAACCCTACTCATAAAGTCAAATATTACTCGGTGTTTCCATATATTGAGCTCGACTTCATATTCAATATCAAGCTTTCCATGATTCGGGTGTTTTTCTTCTTAGGTAAAGTTAGTACTACTATAAGATATCTCTTCAAAGCGCTATCTCCTCAAAGCTCTTACAAAACTTACTGAGTTTAATTATCGTGTTCACATACTTATAGTGACAATGTTGTTTTATATTGTGACATCGCGATAAAAACAATTCACTGTTCACATCTAGAGTATACACATTCCCAAAAATGATGTTGTCCGAACGTTCGGACAGGATCCTCCGTCCGAACATTCCCGTTTGGGCTCCTTCCCGGTGGAATTTTTTGATAAAAATTTAGAGAAAAGGGTCATATAAGCCCATGTACTAATTTGAAACAGTCACTTAAACCCATCTACCCTTAAAAGCATCATATACACACGCATACTAATTAAAAAGAATCATGTGAGTATAGGTGACCTACAAAATACCTGAGATTCCCGGTTATAACCTGACGTGGGGGTTTTTAAAGCCAAAACAGATTGTTTTTCCATGTCAATCCTATGGGAGTGCTTTAAATCATATACGTACAGCGACTACGTCCCTTCTCATCCCAAAGGATTAGATATTTCTTCGTTCCTCTGGCCTTTCTCTAACAGAAGATGGCGTATTGTAGATGCGGGTTGAAGGCTCCTTTATGTGTGACAAGAGAAAGTGGTAGGAGATTTTTTTGGTTGCCAAAGATGGAAGGTATGTGCATTCAAATCTCTAAATTATATGTAAATTTCATTGTTTTGAGGGGGGATTGAAGGATTATGTATGGTCTGCTCGAGTTCATGGGTAATTTGCAAGGGATTGAAATATGTGATTGGAAATTAGGGTTTAATTTAGAAAATGAGGATTTCATTGGTAATTTTCCGTGCAAGGGTTTGGATTTGCGGTATAGGGTTGTATTTTTCAAATGATTTTCAGCCTATATCCTCTGCCTGGAGCTTACTTTTTTGGCTGATTTTTTGAATGTGTATTTTGAGATTTATTTAACTACTACCGCAAATGACAACCTGAAGTAATAGTGCTGCGGATTATATTTGTGATTATTGGATTGTATGTTATAATTAAGAAGCATTTTTTTACTTAGTTGTGTTGGGAAATGCAGGAAGGAGGTTGTAAGTACTTTGCTTGGAAAGGTGAAAATGGAATTGAAGAAGAAGATAGTCGAGAATTGGTGATTGAAGGAGGTGAAAAACTGGAATTTCCTGAACTGAAAACAACAGTTTGTCTCCTGAGAGCGCAAATTATGGATCTTCGTCGTGAAGTTTGTCATATGAGGACAGTTCTGCAATTTGAAATGGAGGACAAGAAGAAACTTAGCCATGCCATGGAGGAAATCAAGAAACTTATGCAAATAGAGGAAAAAAAGAATCCTATCCAAAAGGAGGAAAGCAAGCAAGTTGGATCCTTATGGAAAGTTGTAACACTTGTTGTTGTAGGATTATCAATGCTAATTTGTTTACTCAATGGGAAAAACGTTATATCATAGTTGTATGAAAGATGTTCATTAGTGTTGTAAGAACATCACTATTTTGTATGGATTTTGTAAGAACTAATTTTGATTGCTATGGAATTAGTATTGGTTGTTATGTAAGATATAATAGTCTTTCAGTTCGTATGGAATGTTTTTATGTTAATGTGTTAATTTTGATTTTGTACTCACATGGAGATTATCTCTCCCAGGATTTAAAGCTTCAGTATGTATGTGAATGTCTTAAGTGGCTGACTTATTGGTGGGAAGCTTCACCCTCCATGCAGGGTTTTATATTTGATGGAATGAAATGTTTAAATAGCAGGTGTTTGAGGGATGTGCTTGTTTTATGTCCTAGGCCAACTGTTTATTTTTTTTTTGAATGAAACTATGGAAGTTGATAGAAGAGCTTCACCAAATGAACCACTGCTTAATGGACTAAATGCAATTTCATTTACTGCCACGGCATAACGTTTACCATCTGTACTCTTTGGATAGCATCGAAATGCATATCCCTTATCCATATCTGATTCACATATATACTACAAAGTTGCCATATTGTCATGATTCCCTATTCCAGATTTATGTCCTGAATGCATATAACCTTATTTTGTAAACTGCCATATTGAAAACTCAACACAAGTTGCCATATTGTCTCAAACAATGTAATGATGTCATAACCTTTTATTGTAAACTGCCACCATACTAAGGACTGTTTACCCAATAATTAGTACATTTACAAAAGGGGGTTATATCCCATACAAAAGTCAGGCAAAAAACTTAAAAACACCAAAACACAAGCTGCCCAATAGTCTTCTGATTCAAACGATCTTGTCCAGCCACATCTCCACTTTAAACAACTTGTTCAGTTTCCATCTCGGGCTACAAAAAAAGTCAATGTTCAATTCCATTAATAAAAAGAATATGAATACTATTTTCTATTTTGTTTCAATGAGCAAAAGTTATGTCATACAGACATACACACATATCTTACATCTATAAAAGTTTCCCCGGTTTTAGGCTCCATGTAGGCTCCAAGTAAATGTTAAAATAATTTTAAAACTTCTATCTAGACCATTCAAAATTTTCATAGGCACAGAATATTACAAAGCATCATCATTTTTGCAATTTAAGTTTTGAAGTGTACGTGTGAGTGTTTGTCGATGTGTATTATATAACAGATCCTAACAACAAAATTATATTCACATCATATTTATATTACTGAATGTATGATACTCCGTATAAAGCAATCTATTCTTGAATGTATGAAGTAAGCAAGGTCTTTTCAAAGTGCTTCCATAGTTCCGTTTAAACTTTCAGATGAGTTTTTTTTCAGTTCCAGTATTATCGTAACCTAAAGCAATAATAACATATATAAAAACGAAGACTATTCGGTCTAGCAGTATCATCGCTACCTAACTTCAAAAATCCCAAAATTGAACCTTAACTAACCTGATATCCAGTAAAACAGCAGCGGTCCGGCTTCGCTCTCACGATGAAATCCGTCCAACATCGTCGTTAGCCATGGAAGCTTTCATTTTTGTGCGCCAAAATAATGAAATATTCAAACGAGATGCCCTAGATACACTCGCAGAAAGGCAGAATGAACGACGGAGGAATTTGGGCGTAATCGTTACCTAATCTGACCTGGACAATGGGTTATATTTTAATAATCCGACGTGGCCATATTTTCCATGCTGTCCAATTAATGACTCAAACACCGGGTTTGACAGGTCACTTTTAGGTAATGTGACTCTTATGATTCTTTTCAATTAGTATGCGTGTGTATCTGATGTTTTTCAGGGTAGAAGGGTTTAAGTGGCAGTTTCAAATTAGTACAGGGGCTTATATGACCCTTTTCTCTAAAAATTTATGAGCATGTTCATCATCAAGTCTAGTTTGTCCATAGCAAATTTCAGCTCAAAATTCGATCGGGAAGGCATTCAAATCATTTTTTGAAGTTGACTGCGTTTTTATATGTATATTTTGACGCAGTCAACTTCAAAAATTCATTTGAATGCCTTCCTGATCGAATTTTGAGCTGAAATTTGGTATGGACAAACTAGACTTGATGAGGAACATGCTCAAAAAATTTCATCAAAAAATTCCACCGGGAAGGCCTCAAACATCCATGTTCGGACGGTGTTCGGACCAGGAATGTTCGGACCTGAACATTCCTCTACGCATTCCATCAAATTTATACATTGGCAGCTACTTGTATTTTTCGAAGCTAATAGACCCAAGTATGAATAATTAGAGGGAATGGCTTACCCTTAGGGTAGCCGTATACATGTATATATAATAATAATCCAAGAGTAAGTAATTACAAGAGTATCCCTACATTATTATCTATTACACCCCCTCAATCTGTGCAGCAGGAACTACGCGCAGATTGGACTTGAGAAAATTAAATCGCTGGCTAGACAGATTTTTAGTAAAAATATCTGCTAACTGGAACTGAGTAGGGATATATTTAACAATTAAATCACCATGAGCCACACGCTCACGAACAAAGTGGTAGTCAATCTTTATATGCTTACTCCGATCATGCTGAATAGGATTAACCACAAGATATGAGGCGGAGACATTGTCGCAGTAGAGCTGAACAGGTTGAGAAATAAAAAATCCCATGTCCGCAAGTAAAGAACGAATAAACAAGGTGTCCTGAACAGTATAAGCCACAGCCCTGTATTCGGCCTCAGTGGAGGATTTTGAGACAGTAGGTTGCTTTTTGGATCGCCAAGAAATTAAGTTATTGCCCAAGAATATGGCATACCCAGTAGTGGACCGACAACTATCAGGACAACCAGCCCAGTCTGCGTCAGAGTAAGCAACAACAAGAGAAGGATCACCGCCCTTGCGCAACCATAGGCCCTCGGTAATCGTACCCTGCAAGTACCTGTATATACGCTTCACAGCTAAAAGGTGAGTAGTGCGCGGAGCATGCATAAACTGAGAGACCAAGTGAACAGCATAGGTAATATCCGGTCTAGTAATAATCAAGTACTGTAAAGCACCAACCATACTGCGATAATCAGTACCATCAGCAAGTATTTCCCCATCAGTCAAAGATAAAGTGGTACGTGTGGGAAGCGGGGTGCGAATTGGTGTAACTGTATGAAGATGAAAACGGCGCAAGAGATCAGAAATATACTTTTGTTGAGAGAGAAAGATGCCAGTAGAGGTACGTACAGTCTGAATCCCTAGAAAGAAGTGAATATCACCCAGATCTTTCATTGCAAAGGTCTGAGAAAGAAGATGTATAAGGGACTGGACCAAAGAAGAAGAGCTGCCTGTAATGAGAATGTCATCTACATACAATAAAATGTATACACGATGAGAGCCACGACGATAAACAAACATGGAGGAATCAGATCGACTCTGTGAGAACCCATGACTGAGAAGAAAACCACTGAAATGGTGAAACCAGGCACGAGGGGCTTGTTTAAGCCCATACAGTGCCTTACGGAGACGACAAATGTGATGCGGAAAGGATGGATGAACAAACCCCGGTGGCTGACGCATATAAACTTCCTCTGTTAAATAACCATGCAAGAAGGCATTTTTGACATCTAATTGACGCACCCCCCAGCCAAAAGAAGTAGCAAGAGAAAGTAATAAACGCACTGTAGTGGGTTTAACAACAGGGCTAAAAGTTTCAGAGAAATCTACCCCGGCCTGCTGATTAAAGCCCTGAGCCACTAAACGAGCTTTGTGTCGCTCTATAGACCCATCGGAATTGTATTTTGTTTTATAAACCCATTTACATCCAACCACATTTTTTGTGCTATCACTAGGTACTAAATCCCAAGTCTTATTAGCGATGAGAGCATTAAACTCTTCAGCCATGGCCGCCCGCCATTTGACACTTTTATTTGCTTGAGAAAAACATGTTGGGTCAGGGGGGCACTCCACAGAGCTAAGGGATAAAATAGTTTTAGGTTTGTAAATGTCGTCTTTAGCTCGGGTTCGCATGGGATGGTTATTTTGGACCGGTGGTGGGTGGGGTGGTGGACTGTCGGGTGGAGTAGATGGGAGACTAAGAGAAGGGCTCGAAGAGAGGCTTGGCAGAGAGTTGGAAGAGCGGCTGGAGCTGGAAGAGGTGGTGCGGTCTGGGCTGGAGGAAGATATTAGGCTGGGAGGATCAGGTAGCGAGATATGAGATTGAATTAACGGCAAAGAAATAGGGCTGGTGGCCGGGAGAACTGGTCTGGGCGACTGAGTTGCTGGTAGGAAGCAAGTGTGGCGAGTGAACTAGGGGTGGTCTGGACGAAGTGAGGCTATGTGGGGCTGGACGAAGTTGGGGTATGGGGGCGACATTTGTGGGGAAAGAGGGTAGGGAGGCAAAATGTGGACTGGAATTATGGGAAGAGGATGATGTACTGGACGTAGTAGAGAGGGTAGTATATGGGAAGACAGTCTCATGAAAAATAACATCACGACTAATGTAGACACGCCCCGTAGTAGGGTCAAGACAACGGTACCCTTTGTACCCCGCTGCATAGCCAATAAAAACATAAGGAGTAGATCGTGGTGATAGCTTATTGCTCGACGTGGCAACTTTGTTAGGGAAACACGCACAACCAAATACACGTAAAAAATTATAGTCAGGGGATTTGTGAAAAAGTTTCTGATGTGGACTGAGAATAGGTGTAGGAAGGCGATTTATAATATATGTGGCAGTGTAAAGTGCATCAACCCAAAAAGAGGGAGGTAGGTGTGCATCAATAAGCATGGTGCGTGTTAATTCTAAAAGATGTCTATGTTTGCGTTCAGCAACGCCATTCTGAGCAGGGGTGTCGGGGCATGATTTTTGAAATAAAATACCACAATTAAGAAAATGTGTAACAAATTGGTGGTTATTAAATTCACCCCCACCATCACTCTGAAAACATTTAATTTTACACCCAAAAAGATTTTCTGTTAGTTTCTGAAAATTACAAAAATGGGTAAAGACTTCAGATTTCCTGTGCATGGGATAAACCCAAGTAAACCGAGAAAAGTCATCAATAAAACAAACATAATATTTATAACCAAGATGAGATAAAAAAGGAGACTGCCAAACATCAGAGTGAATTAATTGTAATGGAGCATTAGCAATATGGAAAACATCTTGAAAAGGTAAACGATGGGATTTGCCCAGTCTACAAGAAGTACATAAATGACGAATATTAGTAGATGAAAAAAGAGAATGTGTGCGCCGAAGAGTAGACAATATGCTATCACCACAATGACCTAAGCGCTTGTGCCATACTGAACCAGGTGCAGAAGAAGTAAAGAGAGCTAACGGTGATGAAGAGACTGTGAAGGGATAGGTCCTATTCTTATTGGAAGCGTGGAGTAGAGTTGCCCCCGTTTGATTGTCCTTGACAAAAAAAGAAGATTTATTAAAAATTGCAGTACAATCATTATCCTCACACAACTTTTGAATAGACATTAAATTAAATTTAAGTTGAGGAACATGATAAACTGATTTTAGACAAAGTGGGCGACCAAGAGAAGGTAAATGCACATTGCCAATCGTTGACACAGATAAATTAGTATCATTAGCTACCTGCACATTAGTGGGGTTAGTAATAATGGATTTATTTTGTAAAATACCTTCGCTTGGCGTCATATGAGCTGAGGCACCAGAATCTGGATACCATGTCGCTTCAGTGGTCTCACCAGTTAGTAAAGCAGCTAGGGCCGGAGAAGATCCAGATGTGAACTTGGAACAGGTGATGGCAGAGTGACCCGGTGTGAAACATAATTGACAGACTACGGGGGGCGGGGGGGATGCATAAGTATGATCAACTGATGGGAATCCTGCACTGTAAGTATGAGTACCACGAGTATAACGATGAAACAGATGAGAATTGACCAGAGGAATATTACCCATACCTGCACCGGGTGCTCCCGGAGTGTGAAATGCATGATGTCCCGCGTACTGATAATCATAGCCACGTGGATAGGGCTGCTGTCCAGGGGCACCGGGGTAACCATACCCTCTGCCACGACCCCGGTGACCCCGCTGTGAGCGTTGGCCGCGACCACCACGGCCTCCCCTAGGCTGGGCTCCTCCTCGGCCCTGATATGGATTCTGGGGACGAACTTGTGAGCTGGAAGAGGTCTGCCCAGCAACTACAAAAGCCTGGTGCTGTGATAAAGGTGCATCCGTCCCTCTCATATACTGGAGCCGGTGTTCCTGGAGTTCTAAAATGGGCCCCAACTGGTCAAAAGTGAATGTGGGAGGGATATATGCCAAGCCACCTAATATTGACTCAAATTCCGGACCAAGACCAAGAAGAGTATACTCGATAAGATCCTTGTCACTAACCGGAGAATTAATGAGTGCTAAGGAATCCGCGGCAACCTTGATTTCGCGAAGATATTGGTCCATGGTTTGATTTGCCTTTTTCTTCTTCGTGGAAAGTTGACGTTTGATTTCCATAGACCGGGCAGTACTTGCAGACATAAACTTGTTTTTAAGACGATCCCATATTTGATAAGAAAATTTAAGTTCATGCACATCAATCAAAATATCCCGAGAAAGTGTGGCGAAAAGCCATGAACGGACAGTTTGGTCTATTTTCAACCAAAGTTGATAGTCCGTGTTCATGATCTCCCTACGAGAAGCATCCAAAACAAACGGAGAAGGAATGGGAATGGTACCATCTAACACCCCCACCAAATTATGGGAAACCAAAAAAGATTCGAACTGTGTTTTCCAAGGTAAATAATCCTCAACCGAAGCTAAACGAGTGGTAACTATATTCGTGACATTAGGGGTGGAGAATGTCAACTGAGATGCCATAGTAGTAAGAAAAGATGTTGAATTACCAAACCCAGACGGTGAGTGATGTTGCTGCCTGGAGGATGAGCCGACGTCAAACTGTCCACCAACGATAGGATTGAAAGGCAAAGACGAGGCAGTATTCTGGACTGCAGCGGAAGTGGCTGCAGAAAAAGGATGGAGAGTCGGTTGCCAAGTAAAAGGTTCTGGCATCGAAAAAGGTGAATAGCTTGATACGTGAGGGCTGGTACCACTAAAGATGGCCGACGATGGAAGAATTGTCTGCTCCTGCATGAAGTGTTGCGGGCGACTGACAAGGGGCTGCTCCAACGAAGAGGATGTGGGCGCCTGAGATGAATGAATGGAAGCCGCAGTGGTAACGTCCGGCTGGGTATCATCGACGATGAAAGAGGCCTGAGAATGAAGCGAGGATGCAGTCGTAGGCATGGCGGAAGTCATGGCTGAGGGCGTTTAGGGTTAGGATCGTATCCTCAACAGTCTGATACCATATGAATAATTAGAGGGAATGGCTTACCCTTAGGGTAGCCGTATACATGTATATATAATAATCCAAGAGTAAGTAATTACAAGAGTATCCCTACATTATTATCTATTACCAAGAAATTAAAGAAAATTACATTTTAAGAGTAGTGGAAACGGTGTAAAAGTACATTATTTCATGGAGCTCGTTTTTTGATAGTGAACACTTCTTTAGATTGATGAAATTCCTTGAAGAAAAACAAAAGTGCGGCCGGCCCTTCTCTTGCCCCGCTCCTATCGTTATCCTTCATAAATAAATATATTATGCCCTCCTCAACAATTACATCTTACAATTTAAAACAACCTTGGAACTACAGTCTAATTTACAGTGTAGCAATTCGAATGCATTAGAGCATCCGCAATGGATGCTAGTCTAGTCTAGGAAAATCACGCCACATCATTTACTTGGACTTGTTATTTTCATCTCCAGTGGTAGTAGTCTCTGCTGACATGGCTAAAAAGAAACTAAACAGTGTGGAGGGTAGATGTTTGAGTATAGAAAGGCTCTTAGACTTGCTGAGTCAGAAAAATCGGTGCCTTTCATCGGAAAAAAATATAGGGAAACGAAAAATTACTTTAACAAATCGGGGGGAAATTACTTTTCTCCGATCCCCACAAGTTCTCAGTTTTTGTTCTCGATCTCCATATCTACTAGACTACTACTTGTGTGTGTATGCGATTTTTTCAGATTTAAATTTATGATAAAATAGCTTTAATCCCCTGTAATCTATCGTTCCCGATTTCGTATGATATTGTCATATTGCTATTTCCTTCCTGAATATCTAGTACTCGTGGAACAATAAATTTGTACTTTACAGTTTACACATGCCTATCAATTCATTAGGTTGCTCCGTTTCATATTTTGGTTTAATTTCTCTTCTAGCTAATCACTAAAGCACGTTGAATTTCCCTTCTGGCCTATGATTTGATTTTAATTATTCCATACTTGAACTGTTTTGTGTGTGTAAAGAGAAAACCTGAGCTAATGGGCTAAAAGACCTTGAGAAAATCAAACAAGAAGAGGGGTCAAATATTATTTATTTTAATATAATATTTTCCACATGGCAGCTGTGATAGGCCGGAAGATTGAATGCATTAGAGACTTGTTTCGGCCAGACCATTTAATTATTTGACATTTGGCACTTTATAAGTAGACTAGACATTAGAGCATTGTGGATGCTCTTAGAATTTAGAAGTATCGTGTATTCGTGTTCAATATGCACACAGCCGTGCCAAAATCTAAATGCGACTATAAACCCATTTGATAACCATGCTTTTTGGTTTATTACAGAGAAGGATGTAGGAGAAGAATTGGGAAAGAGAACTACTTGTATTTGTATGAGATAGGGCTGGACTGAACCGGGCCGGTTCGGGCCTGGGCCCGGCCGGGCCTCGGTTCAGAAATATGAGGCCCGATCCCGAACCGGGGGTGGGCGGTTCCGGGTCCGGTTCCGGGCCGGACCGGTTCACCCGGGTATTTAATATTTTTTTTTTGGCTTCTTTTATTTAACCCCTAACCCTCCCCCTCAACCCCAAACCACCCTAAATCACCTCAAATGGCCCAAAATACCTAATCCCACCCAAAACTTAAAAAATTTTCTAAAAAAAAAAAAATAAAATAAAATTAATTCCGGGCCGGGCCGGGCCCGAACCCGGTAACCACCAAATGGAGGGCCCGGGCCCGGAACCGGTATCCACCGGGCCGGTTCGACCCGAACCGCTGGTGGACCGGGCTACCGGGCCGGGCCGATTGCTACAGTGGGCGGGCCGGGTCGGTTCCGGGTCGGGCCACCCGGCCCGAGTCCAGCCCTAGTATGAGAACAACGAGAGAATATTGGTGTTGGGAAAAATCGAGAGAGAAAAGTTCTACATTTGTGCTCGGAAGCTGCTAGGAATGAGAAAAGGTGCAAATAAGGCCACGTACTAACCAAAAAAGGTCAAATAAGGCCTTATTTAAGAGGCTCTGTCCGGCCGTCGCCATTTGGGGTGGTTCCCGGTGGAATTTTTTGATGAATTTTTTTGAGCATCTTATTCAGTAAGTCTAGTTTACTCATACCAAATTTAAGCTAAAACTTTAATCGGGAAGGCATTCAAATGAATTCTTGAAGATAATTGTGCAGTTAAAAGCACAGCTATCTTCAAGAATTCATTTGAATGTCTTCCCGATTGAAGTTTTAGCTGAAATTTGGTATGAGTAAACTAGACTTACTGAATAAGTTGCTCAAAAAATTTCATCAAAAAATTCCACCGGGAACCACCCCAAATGGCGACGGCCGGACAGAGCCTCTTAAATAAGGCCTTATTTGACCTTTTTTGGTTAGTACGTGGCCTTATTTGCACCTTTTCCCGCTAGGAATTTCCAAATACATTGTAGTGCCTGGGAGTTGTTTCTTGTAATGTAACACTATTATATACTACGTATATTTTTTAAAATTGCTCCTGGCGTCACCTTTTATGCGTAAAAAGATGAAAAATCTTATTTAAAATTGACCCGTTTATTCAAATGATTTTGCTGTGAAGTTCAGAACGACTGTCTCCCAACTCTGATGTGTCAGAAAAATTACCATTTAAAGAACTTATGAGCCAGATTTGGGAAGCCAATAATAGAATCTTATCCACTTTTATAATGACTTGCAAATACAGAGTAATCGATGCGGGCAACCAGAGCTCTCTATATTGCACCAACGGAATGCAAAATTAAATCATGAATCTAGTAGATAAACCAGATACAAAACTAATGTACTGAAATGATCCAGACAGTATAGAAAGAGAAATATCTGAAAACGGATAAAATAACTATCTTCAACAAACTCATGAGGCTAAGATTGTTATCCGATTCAACATGCGTAACTAATGAAATCATTGTGCTGATTACGCTATTGTGATAATAAATTTAAGAGCACCAAAGTTCCAAACATATACTTTGTATTCTGTAATAATAAAGTTAATTTGCTAATTCAACTATTGCACAGCAGCACAGGTATGATATTAGTATTCTCATCAAATATCAAGCGCTATACTCATCAAATATCAAGCGCATCATTTGGACATTTGGCATTCCTGGTTTTATTAATCAGACTTTTGTCAGCTGAAATTGGATTTTACTACTGTAAAATCGCTAAATGTGAGTAAATCGCTAAATACAATTATAAAATAGGCAACTTTAATTACTAATACTAATTTAAATATTATATAGTGAATGCTAACTTTATTCTTGGTAAAACCCTATAACCTAAAACAAGAATATCAACATGAAAACCGAGGGAGGAATAATAAAAATATGTGACAATCAGTAATTGTCACAATGCAATGCCAACAAAGTAATATAATTGCATCGGAGTTTTTAAATAACTTGAGCAATTTACATTTAATTTTAGAATCTCGCTTAAATCCTGCCTACGCACTAGTGGACAAACGAATTTCTTCACTTACAGTAATAATTATGTTGTGACCTGTGATAATAGAGTAGAATTCCACGGGCGTATGGGAACCGAACCATTACAGAAATTCCAAGCTTACCGACAGTTAGGAATCAGGTTTATAACCCGGAAAATACTAGTGAAAGAAAATAGGAAAATATCATAGAGAAGATGTGGGAAATATGAGTACACTATATTTCATTTTCCTTTCCAAAGTTAAAACTGAACTTAAGAAAATGACTTCCCTTACCATTGTTTTCCCTTCTCTAGCATTTTACGGGGTCCAGACATGCCCTTACGTATATACAGAGGGAAAACTGATCAGCAGTTCTGCACCCATCCAACAAAGGGAAGTGTGCTTGCAAATCCCAACTCCATACTCCGAGTGCCATCAGAATACAGTTGGGGATTGCACAATGTGCTCAATAGCTTCCCACCTACTGTCGAGAAAAACTGCAAGACGCAGCACCTTTCAGGAGATTGTCAACGCCCCACCCCTTGAAGAACCAATAAAAGGGGAAGTAAGCAGACCCAGAGAAACGGCCATATAGTTTTTTATTTATATATATAAAACTTAGAATAAGTGCCCGACAATGCAAAAACAAATCCTTTGACAAAGCCACGTCACTTGGAAGAAGTGCACACTTGTGAAAGTTGTTCTGAGCATAAAGGAGCTCTGTGAACAATAACAATAAACGTAAGACATGTAGAGGGAAAGGTTTGTCTAAGATTTATTATAGCGGGTAAGCGACAGGAGACAAAATATCAGCAACTATTGGTAGTGTGTGTATGACAGAATCATCATAATTGTTAAACGTCATCAGTTGCAGGACATACTAGTGACAAACATCTAAAATTTGCATAAGACAATCATAACTAACCATCTAATATTTGGATACATATAACACAAAAAGACAATGTACAGTGAAAGATAAATATAACTTACCGCAGCACTTTCTTTCTTAATGCACTCTATTGCCATGAAGCCGGCTTGTACCTGAAGCTATCGTTATCCCACCCTCCATCAGGCTCCTTCCTCTTCAGATAACCTCCAGGAATTGGGTATAACCTTGAATTTTCTTCGGTTAGTGCTGCTTGTGAGCCAAGAATGGAAAGTTGTCTGGATGGGATAGAATCTTCTGCCCCTTCGGTGTCTACAGCTCCAGGTCCGGCATTAAGGTCCAAACCCTGCCTGGCCCATTTCCTGTTATTGTCAGCGCTCCCGCTATGAACACCATCTGGAAGGCCAACCATGTAAGGCCTAGGAAATTGTGACTGAACATGCCCCATCAACTGTGAATTGACAAGGGGTGCAAAAGGCCTTCCGCCAGACGTGGATTCAATAAATGGGTTAGGCCCAACAGAATAAGCGGGTGACTGTGAAGGAAATGTGGTGCCAAAGGGAAACATAGAATATGGGAAGGAAGCAGACTGAAAATGGAGTGCAGGAGAGGATGACAAGACTGAACCACGATAAACATCAGGAGCAAAAGGAGTACCGGCAGCAGCATGACCTAAGATACGTTGCGCACCAAGGGGAAGCATTTGAAATGGTTGCTCTCCACGGTCAGGCAAAAGTGAATAAGGGCTTCCTTGAGGAACCCAAGAAGAAAAGTTCCCTATTTCTTGATTGTTCATTCTAAGGCTAGAAGCAGCAGCTTGCTGGGAATTGATTCTTCCCCGAACGTTTTCTAAGAATAAAGATTGTTCCCCATTAGCATCATCAGTACCAGGCCCATTGTTCAAATCAAAGTCCCTCCTACCCTCCTCCATAGAAGCTCCACTCTGTAGTGGTTTGGTGAGTCCCTCAAATCGATGAAGACTGCTGCTTAGAGAGCTCTGCCCCACATCATTCGGGTCATCAGCTTTATTTAAATCAAGATCAAGTCCTCCAGAACTACGGACAGATGGAGAAGAACCTGAGGGTTCATTTCTGAAAGCATATAGGCTCGCATGGTTAGACGTAGAGCCTATTGCAGCTGCAGAATCTTGAATTTCCTCAATAACCCTTTCGTCAGGTACATTCAGATCGAAATCAAAAAGAGGACGGGCATGTTTATCACTGGAACCTTCAGAATGAGACACAGCTACAGAACTCGTAGGCATATCAAGAACTTTACGAGGTTCAGCAGGTCGAAATGCACTTGTGGCAGCAGAACCTTTCCATCCAATCACCCCTTTAAATCTCAATAATAACTCCTCTGGTGGAACAAAAGGGCCCTTGGCAGCAGCAGCAACAGTTATGGAGGCAGGAACACTATTGGGCATTGAAGTAACAGGAGAAGGCAGTGGATTCATTACATGAAGAGCAGATGAACATCCGTGAACTGCGGCACTGCCCACCTCACCATATGTCCCATCATCTGAAACATTCAAATCAAATTTCATTTTAGAAGATGGAGACAAAGCAGCAACACTACAAGTCTCCATAATGGTGGTGGGCACAGGATCACTTGCATTGTCAGAAAAAGCACCACAAGGTTTGATTTCCTTTGGATCCACATGCTTCTCCAGTTCCAGGCATGAAAATCCAGCTATCTCTTTTTTAGATAATGATCCATCAGGATGGCGCAACCAAACTTTCCTGGTTTCAACATTGACCTCTTTGCAATCCTTACTGTCAGTAATAAAAGCAGATCCATTATCAACTAAAGATTTAGCATCCGGAACTAGATTATCACCACCTTTATCAGATATTTGCCTTTCAGACTGATAAACATCATCACCCTTTGCGTCTTCAGCCTGATAAACTTTATTCACAAGTGGCGCCCTACTAGAGCAAGGGGGTAGCACTTCCTTTTCATGTTTTTCAATCACTTCACAACTCACAGCTTCTACACATGGATTCAGCTCCAAAGCAGCAGTGACATTGTTTTTCATGTCAGCCTCAAGTGACAAATCTGAAGACAAAGCTTCACCCAATCTCTTGTGATCATCTGTGGATGAGGGTGCATTACAGAGATTGTCATCCAACATTGGTGTCTCATTATCATGCAGTTTAGCATCATGCACATCATCCAGTAGGGAACCTCCACTAGGAATTGCATGTCTTACCTGAGATTTTTTATGCCCGCCATTATTTGTCTGACCTGCTCCACCAGGAGAGGAAAATGAATTCTCTCTCTCAATTGACCTCTCATGCTTCTCCACATGAGGTACTGCAGCTACTTTTAAATCATTGCACAAATAACCATTATGCTTATCTCCAGTTGCATTACCTTCAGGAGAAACATCTGGTTTTTTATCTCCAGATGCCTCAAAAACAGCAATAACAGTCGGGCGTATCTTTTCCACTGACCATGAATTACGGACATCAACAACCTTTTTCTCACCAAAGTCATCAAGATTATCATTTCTACGAATACCCGCACTCCGAATGTTTTCAAAATGTGAGGGCTTGCATCTGGAATCATCAGGCATGCAAGTTTCATTGGGAAGAGGAGATTTCAAAGCAGAAGGCAAATGCCTGTCACTTTTTGACATTTCTTCAGTAGCCACACTAGCAAGAAGGTTCATGCCAACAGCATCGCCAATGGATATTGATGCATGTGCTTCAGAGTGCTTGGCACAACTTTCAACCAAAGCATTCATGGAGCTGAAAGAAGCTTCATGCAGTTTGCTAGCCAAATCAGCTTCGGATGATGAGGTAGTAACCTTTAAGGCTTCCATTAGTTTCCCATCATCAGCAATTTTACTGAGTCCTTCATCTGGGAGAACAGCAGGTGACACTTCACCATCATCAGACCCAGTTAATATATCTTTCAAATCATTACTGTGCCAGGATTCTTCATTCACATCGGAAGCATCAATGGATCTATATGCATCATTGTTTTCCTTTGCATTTTGATCACATTGATCATATTTCTCAGAAACCACAGGGGAAGAAGCTCGGCTGTTCATATTGCTATGCTCCTCATAAGATCCTACACTCGCTGTGTGTGTAGGACTCCGACCCCTATTTGGTATCTTGACAACCAACTTGTTACTGCTTCCCTCTGTAACTGGCACATCAACTGCTTTTTCACCTGGCACTGCAGACTGAGATACCTTTTCAGGGAAAGAATTCTTTTGCAGTGATGTACATCTGACTATAGCACTTTCTTTCTGACCAGAAAATATCGGGGTCCCAGGCAGGCCATTGATTGCCTTGCGCTGGCGAGAACTGCTATTAGAGATCTTTGAGTTACTTAGTGACACCAAAGTGTAATTCCTTGCATCCTCTTTTCCTGAGAGAGATTGACCATGACTATGAGGCTGATTAGGACTGGTGCTCTTATCTTCCCGAGAAAAATCAGGCGCGCCAGAAATAGAAACTTTGGCATGACTATCTTTCCCGGGTGCAGGATATGACGCAGACCTCAGTGGTCTTGGAGAAGAAGATGCAGATTTCAGAATAGGTTCCCCTTGCAAAGGCTTTAATGGAGCAGTTTTAGATGCAGCAAGCAGGGAAACTGAGCTCTTTCCAGTGAGCTCATTTGACCCACCAGGAATTTTGTTCACAACATGGGGAGCCTCAGAAAGGCGAGATTTAGAAGGCCATGCAACAGCTTGACCAGAACCAGTCTTGGAATCGATCATATTCATTTCAGCCTCGACACGTTTCTTCCAAGTGTCAACTAAACTCCGTGCTTTTTTTTGAATGTCCATATTTTTATGTGAGCGCAAATGATTAACAGATTTTCCAATGTTGCACATTTGCAGTGCTTGAAGATTCACAGGAAGCTTATCAAGTGCACGAAGCAAAACTAGAAGGAATTCTTCCACACATTGATCACCATCCTTTTGATTACCATCCCCAACCCTCCCTTTGTGAACATCTTGAAGCCACTCATCCAATACAAGTAAACCCCTTAGCTGCACAAATCGGTTAAGGCAGTCAAACTTATCTGTGGCAGCTACAACACCAGCAAGTATGGAGCGATTAGTCAAATCCATTTTCCTTTCCACTCTTTCTGGTTGCATAAGTTGAATGAGTTTCTCAACTCCCTCAAAATCTACAAGACCTCCTCTCTCAGTTACTTTTGAAATCTCAGATTTCAGTACACTTTCTGTCTTGTACAGGCCAGAATCACTATCATCTATTTTTGAAGAACGTTCTCGTTTAATCTGGTCAGAACCTTGATCCCCCCTCTCTCTTTTCTTTCCCTTAACTTGAGCAGAAAATGATGTTACATTACTCTGCATATTATCTGAGCCAGGCTTCGAATGTGATGTCGACATTGGAACGATGGTTGGTTTTGGAGAACGGCTTCCAGACTGTAATGATGCATGCATCTCCAATCTAGTCTTGTGCAACAGTTGATTTACTTCTTCTTGTCGCTCCTGGAAAAAGACAAATACAAAAACAAAGGGCAGAGTTAAATAAACAACTGCAGAATGAAGCGGTCAACACTTCCAAGTTTCCATCACTCCCTATCTACCCCTTGCACCAAATCATTCTCCCTAATTGAAATTCAACAGAAATAAAATTACTTTTCTCCTCTTATCCTTTTCACTTCTCAACCCTTGCATCAAGAGGTCGGATGCCTTCCTTCCCCAGTTCCCCTTACACGCCTACTGCTTGCAAAATAACATGCTAAATGCATAATATAAGAATATTTGATATTTTAAAGCAAATATAACTAACATTAATATAATCTTGATCCGTCAGCCACCATAAACACTTGTTCTCAATGTCATAAACACGCCGGCAAATAAATGAAGATATTCCTGTTGGAAGTTCAACAACTTTAGGAAGGAAGGCAACTTTACACGGATGGAGTAAGGATGCAGCAGGAATCTCATCACTGTGAAAAGAGTAGAAAATTTCGTTGGGCGCAGCGTCAAGAAATAATCCTTTGCCCAGATTCAATTCAGCCGGTCGATAAAGCCAATTAACACCCAACTCTACACTATTTTCGTTTCTTGGTGTAACCCGGCGAATTATGCCAATGAAAGGAGGATAATCATGTGGCGGCTTGAATAGAGCACAATCACCAACACTAATTTTGCGACCGTCCTGTAGGGGTAATATGCAGAAAAGCATCAGTCCATCAGATCAACAAGAACCATACACAGCCAAGTTATGTAAATGTAAAAATTCCCAAAATATTAATAAATAAATATGAATGCCATCTCCAAAAATCATCATATTCACGAGTATAGAAGTTAATGGCAAACATGGTGGCTAAATGAGACAGACTCAGCAGACTGAGTTTCTTATTCTTGTATATTCCCCGCAAACAAGATTGAGTTTCCTATTCTTGTATAATCTCCATGGACATGTCTTTAACTCGCACAGATAACCCATACAGATCAGCAGTCTAAACTGGAAGCTTTAAGAGGAAGGAAACTAATTGAAAGAAACTACCAGAGCAAAGCATGCTGAATCACCAAACAGTTTTCAGAGGATGAGATGTAAGTAAAGAGAAGTCGAGAAATGTCAAAAACCCCACCTTGCAAAAAGAATCCGCAGTAACAGAAGTAAGACAGGAATCACCAGCGGCTACTATCCTCCTTACAGTTGCCGGCATGTGCTGACTGAACCAACCCCGTTCACAAAGCTCACCTCCCTGCAGCTCCCTCCCATACATAATAAAAAATCCGTCGCATTTTTCCCAATTTTCTCTCCACTGCCTCCTCTCACCAACTCCCCCTCAATCATCAATTCACCAACTCCTCGGCAGGAACCCTAGAAGCCCCACCAATCCTTCCTCACCACCAGTACTTAATAGCTAAAAAATCAAGAGCCCGCGCCTGAGAAACAAAACCCTATCTTCCAATGGTCAAGAAACCCTAGACAACACTCAACCCCAACTGTTACACTTCAATTTCCCGATCTGCAGCAAGAAAATCCCGATCCAATCAATTAAATCAGTCACAGCAACATCCGCAAGCATAATATCAAATCAAACACTTCAAGCGACATAGAGAGAGAAAGAGAGGAAAAGAGAGAACGAACCTTCGAAATCGAGAACGAACTTTTCAGTACAAGAGAGAGAACACGTATATATATTATACGTATAAATACAGAAGACAACAAAAACAGATACTCGTACAAAGATTTGGGTAGCCCGTATGTATGATTTAGGCGAGGAAGCGGAAACAGATGATGTCGTGAGGGCTCGAAGCCGGCAAAAAGGAGGAGACGTACGTGGTACTTCGATTTACAGCGAGAAAGCGAAAGCGATAGCGGGCAGCCCATGCTCCATCTCTACCCTTCGGGCTGCTGGGTGGGCCCTCCAAACGTGAGAAGGTCCGTGAGACGTGAACTCCTTTTTTTTCCTTTTATGTTTGGCTTTAATTAAATATAACTCCCTACGTATGACTTTTTTTGTATTAAGCTGACTTTTAAATTGGAAAAATAACATCAGCACAAGACCTTTCATTATAATTGTTCTCGTGAATCTCATTCTAACAAAATATATCTAACAACATTATAATCATGAATACTCTTGTGCATAAAAGGTTGTACAATGTTCTTAAAAAATAGAACCTTATTTTTTATTTGACTTTTTTACCCTTAGTATGGTGTCAAAAATTTAACTCCGTTAACTCAATCTCAAAAGTCTGGAATCGTACATCACCCTCCATCATTGGTTAGAGCAGATCAACGAAAAACAAATTGCCAACTAAGCTTCGGTAGAGCTCCATCTCCTCATTCGATTAAGAGCCTGTTTGGTAGCACGAAAATCGGTTGATTTGGCTGATTCTGCTGAAATTTATGAAGTTTTGGCTGAAGTGGCAACATTGGATGATTCTGTTGATTTAAGAAAAAAATTATTTGTACAATATATTTTATTAATTACCAGAGCACTAAAAATGTAAGACATGAGACATGTAGTCGGGGAGAAAGCTTTTATGAGAGGTTATATGTATTCCTTAACCCAAACTATGATGGATGTGTTCATATAATTCAAGAATCATTCCCCGATTCTGTCCTCATCCTTATCGGGGCTTTGTCACTGCACCTGATTTCATATGAATTGTGTAATCATCAAAATAAGTAAAGTTTGAATTATTCCTCCCTAAAATGATTGGATTTTTGCTTAGAAAATAACATTTTTGCTATTTTTGCATACTTTTTTCTTTGCTATATTTATAAAAAACTACGTATATTTTATCACTCAATTCAGCCGCTTTAATCAGAACTCCATTGATTTTAACAGGTTTAATGAATTTTAGTATTACAAAATGGACATTGAGTTTCAAATATATGCGCACTATACTAATTGTGCCAAATTTATTAAAATAAACACTATTATTACAATTCACTGTAACAGCATACTCTCCTTATATTAAGATTGAAACATTGCTAATTCAAATGTCCATTGTATTAAAAGTATAGACATATTTTCCACATAAAAATTGTTCCGTTGGCAATATAACTGTTCCAACAACTTATGAATTATTGAATAATTTTATACACTTTTTAAAAAATCTCATTCCAATTTCACATGTAATATAATATGTACTACGCAATTTTTATTTAAAAAAAAACTATTACTATAACATTGGACAAAAGATTTCACGGCTTGCGCGAGCAGACACTAGTTTAAGAAATAAAGTGAGTACACTCGTCAAAACACTCTATAGTCAAATAGGCCCTCGAACTTTCATAAAAAAGTAAATTAAGTTCTTCTATAGGAGATTCTGTCCAGCCATCGCGATTTGGGGCGGTTCCCGAGGGATTTTTTTTATGAAACTTTTTGAGCATCTTATTCATCAAGGCTAGTTTACTCATATCAAATTTCAGCTAAAAATTCTATCAGGAACGCATTCAAATTAATTCGAGAACGCAAAAATGCACAATTATCTTCATGAATTAATTTGAATGTGTTCCCGATTGCATTTTTAGCTGAAATTTGATATGAGTAAACTAGACATGATAAATAAGATGCTCAAAAAATTTCATCAAAAAATTCCACCGAGAACTGCCCCAAATCGCGAAGGCTGGGCAGAGCCTCATCTAAAAGGACTTAATTGACTTTTTTATGAAAGTACGAGGACCTATTTGACAGTTTTTCCAAGATAAAATTGAAAAGATTTGAGGTAGATTGAAATAATCCAAGTTAAGCACGATTGCACAGAGGCAGTTTTGGGATATGTGACCCCCTGAGAAGATTCTCAAGGCGCGCACGAGTGAGGACAAAGTGCACGCTAAAGACTTGTGGTGGTTTGTGAGAATGGTACTAGAGGTCTGGAGGGTGTGTACGAGTAACTACCACAGGCCCTACGGGGCAAGGTGTTACAAATGATATCGGAGCAATCCTTCGACAGTGTGTTGATGTGGGAGGATTCTGGGATTTGATTGAGATTGATTTGGTTTATAGGCGCAATTAGGACATTGTGTTCTTAAGTTGGGGTGATTGCAGTACTTGAGATTAATAGTACTACTCATATCAACAAGATGCATTTGAGCAGGAGTGAGGACAAAGTGCACGCTAAAGGATTATAGTGATTTGTGAGGACAATACTAGATGTCAAGAGTAACTATCTTGTGCCCTGTAGGGTCGAGGTGTTACATTATTGAATGGAGTATATCACAAACGCAATAAATTTGTTTTTGAGAAATATATATAATCACGTAAAAATAAAAATATATAAAAAGAAGAGATGCAGAGAGCTTTCTATACAAAACAAAATTATCCAAGGATACACACATGCATGTGTATTGCAAAGACTAAATTACTCAAATATGAGTAATAATAAACTTAATTGCACATTTAGGAGTTTAAATGGAAGGAATGTTTCGTAGGACCAAAAATAGCTTTATTAGACAAAAACACCCATGTTATAATATTTCAATTAATACTTGAGAAGGTATTGCACGCTGCATGAGGCCTATGCGCCGATTTTTTTTTTGCAACATCAAATGGAAAAACACCCCTCACATGCGCCGCCTGCCTCGGTCATCCGCCATCGTTGTCGCCTCTCACACTAGTGTCTTCATCCTTAGCAGGCCACTAGCATCGCAATCTGCCGCCACTGCCACTATTCTCTGTCGTCGTTGTTGTCCAATCATTAGAGTCGGCGCCGCCACTTTGGTCACCACACAACCTTTATTAAAATTGACGCTAGTGTCAATTTTGGGGTCACCACTTCAACCCAGAGCACCGCCGCCGCCGCCATCACACCTCTGGCGCCTTAAATCTACCATTAAGTTGACACATTTTGCTTTGAAGATTAATTATAAATCTGCCATGAAAATGAATTCTCAAGACTACCATAAAGTTGGCATAATATGAAGCCAACAACTAAATGTTCAATAAATCTCGAACTTTAATGGAACAATCAGTGTAACAAATTCACCTCAATCACGAATAAGAAATTAATGATAAAAATTAGAAAGATCTGTTTAAACAAAAGCCCTTTTGTCATAATATGATTGCCAATGTAAATATCTGCCATAAACTTGGCCAAATGTGACGCCATCATCCATAAAAAATAGAAAATCAATTTTTTTTTGGCAAAATAGGAATCCAGGAAACAGTAATATGAAATAGAAGTCTAAAAATCAACAAAATGAATGTCAAAACTTAAAACAACATAAGAATAATAAAAATTATGAAATTAGAAACATGAAGGTAATATTAAAAAAATCAGAAACAATCGGTTAACACAAAAGATTGACCATAGTACGATTGTCATAATATACATTTCTGCCAAAAACTTGGCAAAATGTGAAGTCATCATCCAAAATTTTTAAAAATTGTTTTTTAACTAAGAAATTAGAAATCAGAAGTTCAGAACAGGGAAATAGCAATCCGAAAACTAACAAAATCAATGTCACATTCCAGAAAAATGAAAGAACGGAAGGAAAATCAGAAAATTTAATGTAAATTTAAGAAATTTAGAGGAATGGGGGGAGGGGGGAATACATATGCATATTACCAAACTCCAGAGGACTGAATTTAATTTAACATTGTTGGTCCAAAATAGGACCTTTCTAGATTTTAAAGGTGTAGCCATTGAAGTTCCAATCAAAAAGCTGAACAAGGGTAAAGAGAGATGCATGAATACTAGTCTATTCAGCTCTAAAATGGTTTAGAATTCCACTAATATACACGAGTAGGGATGGAGCCACACTATGTGGTGTGGTGTCAATTGACACCACTCAACTTTTTCTTCTTCATATATAGGTATATATAATTTTTCAAAAAATTATAATTGACATCACTGGAAAAAAGTTGTTTAATATAAGACTAAAACATACATAAAGTTCAAAAGAGGACTGATTATGTTTTATTCCCATTCAAAAGAATAACGTTATTTAGGGAATTCTCTAAAAATAGATGTATAATCTTTAAAAAAATAAAAAATGGACACATCCATTTTAAAAATTGGAGGTCAGTGTATATATTTTCAAAGTTGGAACTTGGAACACTAACTTAAAAATAATTGAAAAGTTTACGCTTTACTTATAACTATTATCCTCATCACATTTTATGTGCCTTGTTTTTCGTTTGATACAATTATAATAAGGTGGTTGAAAAAGTAAAAAAAAAAACAAGTGATTGAAGTTTGAGTATAATAAAGTGAAATGTTATAGACACATATTGCTTTCCAAAAAAAACATGACACCTATTTTGGGACAATCCAAGTATGAAAAGAGCTTTCTCAGTCATGAAGAACAAATTGTGCAATCGAATGGAAATGCTTTCTTGTAAGAATAGCTAAAATTATCCTTTATAGTAAGTTTAGCCAATACAGACAGAAAAGTAACTTCAATCTTACTTTTTTAAGAGAAGAGTCAATAGCTGATCAATTTAAATGGTATTGGCATATAGCCTAGTTTCACCCTCACCAAAGGAGTCATCAGGATTCTATACTAATATTTCAAGGAAAAGAGAAGAAAACACAAATTTGCGCAGAGCTCAAGTTTTACGTACTTGATCAAATAAACTACTGGAACAAATGTTTCTACACCAAGAACTCTAAGTAGAGTATTACAAATTTATGATTGTTACAAATTACAAGACCACGTTTAAAAAAAATACCAATTGCTCAAACGAAAGCTAAGGTTTGTGGCAATGTCACCCCTGATGAGCAGCAGTAATTGCCAAGTTGCCATAAGAATGAACTACTAGTACATGAGGTTAACAAAGCCACCCCTATTTTTCTTTTTCTTTTCTGCTAAAATCTAAGCAAGTTTTTATTGGACGAAACATATGCCCTTTCAGAAATAAAAAACATACAAAAAATTATCAAGAAACAAAAAAGCACTCCACAATTGAAGCCCGTAGGAGTAATCTTGGATTCAATATTTCGCCATTATCTTTTTAAATAGTTCCCTGGGAGCTGCCATTGTACCACACAGAATGAACAAAAAAAATGTAATCAGGGAATGTCCGACCAGATATTAGTATCACAAGGACAAAATTACTTAAGTGTGTCATGATTTACTTTTAACAGAAGAAGAACATTTTTAAAATGCTTATTTAAGATATGTATGTTACAAGTTCAAAGTTCACACACACTTGATGTTTTTAATTGGACTGAAATTTTCAGGGCTGGTCTGGTATGATAAATGTCTGATCTCCGTGTATTTTATTGCTATTAAAATCTGATCTGATCTGATTGGTCTGGTCTGTTCTGGTCCAGAAGTGAAACCAGTCCAAGTATAAACATCCTTGCTGAAAAGGTTACAAAAGAGACACGTCAACACCATATTTTGCAGCACATCATATCACCTTTACATGAATGGTGAATATATGAGCCAGATCATTTGTAAGTTCGTTTGTACTAATAGCATTTTTGTGTTTAAGGAAGCAGCATATTGGTGCTTTTTTCAAAGCAGCACTTTTAAAGCTTGAATTAGAAAAGCTTATGATAAAAGCACTAACACCCTAATGGCTTCGTTTGGTAGCCAAGAGAGGCTTATTTTGCTTTTTGCTTATTTGCAGAATAATTAGCATAAGAAGAATAAAGAACCAAAGAACTTTTGATGGGTTTAAAAAAAACTTTTGACTTACTCATTTGGCTAAAATTAATGTCATCAAACACTTCTCATTTATGAGAATTCAACAGAATCAGCCATCAATGTGAAATAACCCTTGACAAACTAAACCTATTTTCCCGAACAAGCTTTATATGCAGCTTACCAGGCAATCCTGTGAACCTTTCGTATTGCTCATATGCCTGCCCAATGAACATTTCTACACCGGTAACAATTTTTGATCCAGACTCTTCAGCTTCTCTTAATAATCTAGTTATCTTTGGTGTATAGACAGCATCAAACACGAGTGAATAGTATTGCAAGGCTTCCTGCAGAAATACATCCTTGCTCGGTTCAATGTCAATAATTCTGGGGAGAGGGGGAATACCGAATAGTACACCACTACACCATTAAACATAGATGCATAAATATCCAATTTTAAGTTTTTGCTCTAAATTGGCAAAGGCAAACCTTAGCAACTGGTGTCTCGTCAACTTTTGGTTGCATTCCGATGGAAGTGGTGTTTGCAAGAATCATGCCTTTTTCTGGATGGAAATTATTAAGCTCAGCAAGCGACAAAGCTTGTCCTCCAATAATATCTGCCAGCTCTTTGGCTCGTTCTTCAAGCAAGGCAAATAGGCAATAAATAAATTATTTGACATTACATAATTTATGAGCGATAAATCTCCATGACTAGAATCTAGCTATGAGTTTATGGCTAAAGAGTGATGTTGCTATAATTGTGCACAAGCGAAATTTAGAGCCCGTTTGGTAACACTTAAATTGAGTGAATCGGCTGATTCTGCTGATTTATGAAAATACATTGTTAAAATTTTAATTATAATAATAAATAAAAACTCATAAGAAAAATAGCTAAATTGGTTTTCTAGAGTAACTTCAGCCAGAAAAGTAAACTCTGACCTTACTTATTTTGATTATTGCACAATTCAGCGCGCGAAATCAAAAGTTGCATATTTGACAAAAAAGTTGGTTGATAAGCCGAAAAACAATGTCACCAAAATGAACTCTTACTGCGCACGCACACACTGACATATATAATTACATAATATCTATAACAATACAATTCATCTTCACACATATTATTGGAGTACAACTTCTATAAGAATACTAGTATTATGCAAGACACGAAGAATGCCAAGTCCCCATCCAAGTTTACGTGCCTGAATGTCATTTTAGGCATGCAATGGTTATTTTACCCCCTAAATGCCATCCAGGTGTTGAACCTTGATGTGACTGTAACATTACTCAAATGACAATTTAAAACATATAGAGTGATTAGTAAAAGAGAATAGGATCTAACCATAGGTACGGTTAGCGATGACCACCCTAGCTCCTTTTTCTTTTGCACCATATGCTAGTGCCTTTCCAGCACCACCAGCACCAATTACTACAAATAACTTCCCAGCCAATGGTGAATTGACAAATGGAGCATGATGCAAACCTGAAAAGATGTTGGAAAATCAACATCGTAAACTCTACAGCAGAGACAAGCCACATTTTTCAGATAAGTAGCTGATGATAAACCTTGCAGGCCATCCTCAATAGCAGAGATAGCGCCAACATAATCTGTATTGCAACCAAATAACTTCCCATCCGTACTTCTCCTTATAATGCAATTTACAGCCCCTATTGACTGAAGGCCATTCATTCAAGACATCAATTTAATGTTCTAAAAGGCGCAAGGTGTTAGTTGGGTGGAGGCCTACCGCCTAACCCACCTAAGCGCTGCCTAGTTCTCCCATTTAATTTTAGTTTTTTTTTTATGATTCTTAGTATTATTTACTAGCGAGTTTTGCATATATTGGTAATAAATGTAGCTCATATAAGTCTTAAATGTTATGCTATTGTTATAAACTAATAAATAATAACATAAATAAAGAACATTTAGGTTTTATAAGTTATTTTTCTATTGTAAAAATAGTAAAGTAAAATCTTGCATACAAATATAAGAATTAATGACCAAGCGATGTATTAAGGACTGAGCGGGGGAAAATACATTGGATCGAGAACTAACCACACATCTGGGCGCCTAACCGGCTGACCGACTTTCCTATCGACTAGGACAGAATCGGGGAGCCAGGCAACCACCTAGATGGGCGCCTAGTCTGACTTTTAGAACAATGATCAGTACCTTTGCAATTGGATCCACATCATCGCAAGTTTCAAGGGCAGCCTCTTTGTGAGGAATGGTGCAACTGAAAATAAAAAATGCAAAGCTACGTTACTAATTACTATTTTGAACAACTTCCGTTTAGGCTCCACGAATATCAGGTCATACTTTTGGTCCCTGGCTTCTATCTATTCATTTTAGGATAAGGTGCAAATATACCCTTCATGTTTAGCTCCAGGTGCAGATATGCCTTAAGGTTTTGAAAGATGCAAAAATATCCTTAAAGCTCATACTTCCTCAGTTCTTTAATTCTTGCAACATTGTGATTTTTGCACTATTCACAGATCTTACTTTAACCACGATTTTCTACTAATATCCACAATCAAATTATTCCGTATAAAATGTTATTGAATTCCTATCAATGTGAATTTCCAAAATATCAACTTTTTTATAATGTTTACTAATACATAATTAAATATAATTACGGTCAAAGTTGTGCATTGGCAAACGTGAAAGTCAACGGTTGCAAGAATTAAAGAACGGAGGATAGTATTTAGGAACAAACTTACCGTTATAGACTTTGAATAAATAAATACAATTTGAAAAAAAAATTAATAAATACATTGTTTTGGAATATAAAAAATAAAAAATTAAAAATCCATTTTGTGCTCAATGCTTCCTTATTATTTTTATATCAAATTTAGTACTCCCTTCATTCCTTTTTTAGTTTTAACTGCCAAATATTCCTTTTTGGGAGGTTTTTTATTATTTGGCCACCTTTCCGTTTTTAGTAAGTTTTTCCTATTAAAATACCTTTATTCCCCTCACCTTTTTTTACTTTTTACAAGCTGCTTTCTCTTTCCTACCTTTTCATTACTTTCCTCTAATTAATATATTCCCTACTTTTTCAATTACCCCACACACTCTATATCACCCCTACTATTTTCTTCTTAAAAACCACAACACACCTAGTAGGACACTTAGTAAAGAACAGAGGTAGTTTTGTTAACATAAAAGAAAGCATATACCACAAAATGATTTTTTATTTTTCAACACATTTTTAATATTTTGCGGCAACGGCCATAGTTATATTTAAAAGTTTGCAAAAGTTTCTTTTATGTTAACAATATTAAATTGGCATAAATCAATAAAAAAGAAGCATTGAACACAAATGGACTTTTTACTTTTCAATCTCTAAACTCAATATATTCATCAATTAACTTTTGGTATTTTTAAACATACATTTATTTATTTATTTAAAGTCAATAAGGGTAAACTTGCTCCTAAATATGAACTTTAGGGATATTTTGGCACCTTTATACGGGCATATTTGCACATGGAGGTAAATATCAAGGGTATATTTGTACATTTTACCTTTTATTGTTGGTGCACAACTATGGATTTTTGCCACTTTTGATCCTTCCAGGCACTATTATAACTAACTTTTATTTAAATTTTTGCAAGATATGTGACCTGGAAAGGACCAAAAGTGGGAAGAAATCCAGTCATGACTCATGACCAAGATGAAAAGCAATGACCAGAAGTGACAATGACCGAATAGCTATGGGAAAGAAGTGGAAAACTTCATACTATTAAAGTGTGTACACACACATGCACATGCAACTTTCTATTAGCAAACCTGAAACCAGCAAAATCTGTAGTTGAATAAGTTTGGAAGAAAGAAGCAACATCATCTACCAGTAAATGTACATAAACCCCATTGAATCCGACTGATCTGAAAGCTTCATTGTACAGTAAAGGCGATTTGCTATGACTGACAGGTTTGCCAATAATGCCAAATATCCTAGTGTCCAGGCCTAACTGCCTGAAATTGTACAAATCCAAAAGATCCTTAATGGTTGGCTGTCCAGGAGCTGATACTTTCCCGTCTTCCAGAGTACCAAAAGTGAGATAACCACCAAATTTTGGGCAAAGTATGCGAGAAATCAAACCCTTCTCTCCCATGACCATGGCTATTATTGGTACCTGAAAGTTTTCTAAATCTTGTAAAAATTATTTTAAAAAATCCTTAAATGAAAAGTTTACAGTACAGAAGTAAATATATAGAGCAGTTAAATAGAAATTTATCTCGTACTCCCTCTGTCTCAAATTGTTTTCTCTCAGCCATTAATCCCACATTAAATGTTGTTTTTAGGAATTTGAGATATAACTCCACTTCTTTCCCCAACTTTCCTATTTAACCTAGTAAATGATTAGTAATTTGAAGATGAGTATTTCAAACAAGAACTTTATTACATTGCTGCTCGAGATTACATAATAATTTAATATGGGGGAATTCCCCAAATAGGACTAAATGAAACTTTAATTGCAATAATAGGAGTATAACTTTCAAATTCCCTAAATAGGGCTATCTTTCCAATCCCACCCTTTCTTTGTTTCAATACAATTCATATTTCATTAATAATTAAAACATAAATGTAAAAAATAATTTTATTTTTAATAAAAAAGGGAAAAAAACAAATATAATAATGAATATAAAATTAAATTAAAAAATAGAAAAACAAAACTTATAAAACTAAAAAAACTTAAAAAATTAAAATAAAAAAAATAAAAAAACACAAAAAATTTAAAAAATATACAGGCCTCTGCCGCCGCCTCAACAACCACCCAGCACCAATAGCTTTGACCACTAGAAAAAATGCCAACTTGTGTCAATAATGCCATCTTGATGGCAATTTTAGATAAAATTTTGGCATTTTCAAGGAGTAAAAATAGCATTTTTTTCACTGATTAGAGTGAGATGACGAAGATGAAACTCAAAGTTAGTTTTGGAGGTTGAGACCAAAAGACATGCCACACTACTTACACCGCTTACTTGAGAGTGTACAGTGATTTGGAAGACACGTGCCACATCAGTAATATCCAATGCAGTGGTTGCTATTTTCACAATGTCAGCTCCTGCTGATTGTATCCTCGCTACAAGATCACCAAGCTCCTCAACCGATGGTGTGTTATGATAATTATGAGATGAAATGATTACTTGGCATTTGCCAGTCTTCTTCGCAGGAAGAGAACTATTAAACTGCTGAATAGCCTACATGTATTAAAAAAATGATTAAATTAAATGACTGGATCATAACAGAGGAAATCGTGAAAATTTTTGTGATATTTCAATGGATGCAGAGATTGTTAAAAGTATTATATGCATGATACTTGCATCTATAAATATTAAAAGAGTTAATCGATTTGTTAATTATCAAACAAGGGATTCAAAGGCAAAAACTATCCATTTATAATTTTGAATGCTTTTTATTGTTAATTATATTGGAGTTAATTAATGGAAAATCCCTTCACGGATTAAAAAATTTCTAAAGCACCTATTAAAAAATATACAAGTATTTATGATTTTTTTAAAGTCTTGAATTGATAATTCAAATCATCGAGGTCCTAAATTCATAGTTTTCAGCTTTCAAATCCTGATCTACGGAGTATTATATAACTTATCTTCCAGAACCTGAACTGATAGAACTTCCAGACTAACTCACTGATCTACCGAATATTAATTAAGAATGCATGGAAAGTATTTTTATTGTAGCACCCATAAAGTAAATTCATGGAATTGTACATAAATCAATACTTGTTCCCTTGGCTGTTTCAGGATATGAAACATCCAATTATGTGGGAGAATTTGTGGGAATCTTATGTTACCTTGAGCTCAACATCTATATAGTCAGCTCCAAGCTCCATCGCCAAGCGAAGTGCATCCATTCGGCTATTTTCATCACCATTATACATTCCACCTTCCCATGCCGGCCTGCATGACAGCGCATGATTAGAGTAATTTTACATAATTGCTGTGCAAAGCCGACAATAAAAGGAAACATTATAATCTGTAACTCATATGGTCCCATTGGATCTGGAACAACTTGGCAAAAATATAAATGAAGGCATAGATAAAAAGTAGGGATCAAAGAAATTGTAGGGGAAATAGAAGATAAACTTCTTACTCAATGAATTTATTTTAGATGATTGTTGGTGCTCATTTTGTTAACTAATGTTTTATCATATAACTACTAAGAAATTGGAATATATGTAAGATACTAATCATATTTCACTTTTTATATTCCAAGGTAAAACTAAACTCAAGAAGATAATTTTCCTTGAAATTTTCGTAGGATTTTCCGTGATTTGAAACATACCCATAAGGGACAATTGAATTTTGGGCGTTCAAAATTACACATTTTCTCCTTAAAATACCAATAAATGAATTATTACACAAATTCACACACATATATTCCCATTATTTTTATATTTTTGGGTGTTGATATGAACACTCTTGCACTAAAGACATCCGCCACTGCATCCAACTTTCCTACTTCAACAGCTCAACTATTCATGGTTACCCAAATAAACTTCCTTGTATTGAATGTCTTGGCTGCCAAGTAAAAGGCCATAGGCAACACCGATGGTATTATGCATGTATAGCCTTATGTTATCATTTTTATAAGGATTTAAATACACAATCACTGCTACGTTTTTATTTTTAGTGGTATTTTTATTTCCCGAGTACATCACAAAATAGTTGAACCCACATGACATTCAAAAAGGGCTCCTTTTTGAAAATCTTTTTTCCTGCCGACATAAAAAGTCACAGCTAAGTTTGAATATAACTTTCTGCAAAAAGGTAAAATTAAGTTCAATATGATAAAATTAATAAAAAAAATATTAAAAAATAAGTTGGACTAAGGTAGGAGCAGAGGAAATAAAGGAAAATGAGAGCAATGAAGGGGGTTAACCATTTAAAGATGTTGCCATGTTGGAGCTTGCTTCTGGGATAAGTGACTTAAATATGACTTCTATAATTATTCAATCCATCAATTATTCACCATTCTAGTGATACACATAAGGGCTTCTGTTAGCATATGAGGTATTTTGAGTAGAATTTGAGAGTCATTAGAGTAGGCTGTTGGGGAAGTTAATCTTTCTGTGGAATACCTTCAGGTATTTCATTTTCTTCTCTTCTTGCTCGAGAATACCTTTGGGTATTTCATGTTCTTTCATTCTATAGTTCTACATGCACATTCCTCCATTTCTATTTTATAATACATCATCTTATTTCTTGATTATTTGTCCCTTTTCCGCTTTACTATCTATCAGATTAATTGACTTTTTAGAGTTGTATCTTGCCAAAAGTAAGAACTAGTAAGGTACTTTGACAAAACAATACTATTGTTATTTAGGGGTGGATGGAGTATATTCATTTTTCAAGAGTTTCAAAATGCAGGCCAATGATGCTCGCATTGACAGCTAAATACCTCAATTCCTTCCATGTGAAGTCATTAATTGATGGTGTGAGTTTATATTTCAATTTTCACCCAAATAACTCGGTTTCTTCACCTTTCAATAAAAAATCAGTTTCTTCCTTCCATGTGAGCTCAAATATTAATTACTGGTGTAGTTCATATTACAATTTTTGTTCACCCCCAACATCTTTCCACCTTCATCAATTCATTGTTACTCCAGCTAAAACTCTACTGAGTGCGGTACTCTTCTGGGTTTTTTGAGTGACCCTATGTGCTCCAAAAAATTTTGGAAACGCCGTGTTTGCATTTAATAAATGACTCAAACATCATTTGACTCCCAGCCCACCAAAACAAAGAAGAAGAAAAAACACTACTAACTTCAAGAATTAGACAAGGAGCGTTTGCAATTACCCAAATGAGACAAAAAAAGATGCCAAAATGCCACTGTAGTGAACTCTGTTAGCAACCTTAAACTTTAATTGAAACAAACTGGAAAAACCCCTTGTTTTGTATGATTTTGTTAAAACATAAATAAATAAAACAATGAGGAAGCACTTCCTTTTTTTCCCTTGTGTGGTTAAGGTGGCAAACTATAGCATACACTTTGGATCAATTTCTTAACTGTTCCTGACGCTGGATGAAGCCAATTATGAATGCCCCAATACGACCGCTATGATATTCACAAAAATCCCATGTGATTTCACTTTAGAAGTTCAACAATTTACATAAAATGCTTTACTGTTAATCTGATACAGGAAAACTCATCTACCCATTCCTTTTTGGGTCAAGACTCAACCGGCACCAATGTTTTTGAAATAGTGTGTGGATGGCTGGATGCACCAACTTTGAGTAAAAAAACCCAACAAGAAATAATGCCTAATGTATGACCAAAATGAAGATAAAGGACAAAAATATGACTTAGTCACGTGATTATGTTTAATTCTTACAGTACATCTTAGTGGCCAGTACACCAATAGTATCTTTAGTCACATTTTTGCCCGTAAATTTTATTTTAGTAATATTTCAGAAAAACCCCACCCTTAACAAATACCAATGGGCAGTATAAGCTAGTTAAGCAGTGCCTTATAGTTTTGTTTTACATCTTATTGCATTCTTATCTTCCTTCATCATTTCATGGCACACCTGTAAGTTTAAAATCTCAACCACGCATTGGAGTTAAGATCATAGAGGCCCCATCATGGCAGTGAAAGCATTAAAGGAAAAAAGAACCTGTAAGTGAACAGCGTAGGCAATGGAGATTGTTGAATTAACTTGGAGAGGTCCGGAAGAGGGTTGAGGCTGTTCAAGCTATCCAATCGAACTTCGACAAGATCAGCTTGACTAGACTTCGCCCTCCCCATCTGATCCAACATTTCATCCACAGTGGACGCCATGATCGGAACACAAATGAGGGTCGTATTCTTCCTCATCCCCTCCATCTTCTTCACCACCCCAGAATCAGCAACCTTCAACAAACCACCGAAATTTATTCGTCATAGTCAACATCAAATCAGCGATGCATTTGACTAGCAATAAAGTTAGGTGAATGTGAATACAGCTTCGGAAATACCTACCCCAAATGGGATGGGGGAATCCACAATTTGTTTTTTATTTTCTCCATCAATGAATATAAGTCAACGCACAACTCAATAAAAAAGTTCAAGCCAAAAAAATGATTAAAGGGGGGGAAATAAAGAAATGAAGTGGTTGTTCCAGACTTACCAACTCCATGTCACAAAGAAATGAAGAATCCCGGAGAAGATGGAAGGACTTGGTGGAAGGGGAAATGGGGTAAATCGCCTTCTTTCCTGGGCAGAATGGTGCAAGTCTAGAGAGGAAAATGCATATATGGATACATCATTTGGTGTGTGGAAGGGCCTTGCCTGAGGTTTATTGCGGGTTTGGTGAGGAAGGAGAGTTGGTGAGCGTCAAGCATTGAGTTGGTGACTGGTATGATACTCCATATGCCACGTATCTGATGGGCACAATTTTTATCAAATTCCATCGTACAGCTGGCTATACGGAAAGCACAGTACAACCATTTTTTTGTAATTAATGCGTGTTGCAACTCATCTGCGAAGAGACGAGGGACATCGACGAAGACGGAACATCGACTGCCCAGGTCTCTGACTCGCGAAGCAGCCCAAGCCGCCACATACTCTGATCGATTGGCGCAACTAAACAAGGCTTCGCTTTTGTCCTAAGATTCGGATTCTTCCCACCCCACTTAGATTCTTCCCACTCATGTTTCTGCGCTGGTTTATAGAAAGAAAAGGGGAAGGAGTTTGAAAGCTCTTTTGTGGATATGTCGTATTGTATCGGAATGAGTTTAATATTAAAGTCAAATGAGTATAATGTCTAAAAGTAATAAATATTGAACACATAAGAAATGAGTTATTATGTTAAACTCAAATGAGTGTCGCACCCAAAATGAATGAGCATACACAAATGAGCTTTTGAATTTTTCGATACTTATTTTGTAAGTTATGTATGTTCATTCGGAATCACTTTATGCTCATTTTAAAAGGTTGCACAAATGAGTTTTTAGAAATGAGTTTGTGTTAAACTCAAATGATTATAACGTCCAAAACCAATGAGCATATACAAATGAGTTTTTGAATTTTTTGATACTCATTTTGTAAATTATGTATACTCATTGGTACTGCTTTATGCTCATTTTAAAATAATGCACATATCAAACATATCATGCTACATTAGATTCACATATTGAAATTAATCATAATCATAATTTAAGAATTTTTTATAAACGAAAAAATAATGGGTTTTTTACAAGAACATTACTAAAATAAAACTTATTTACATAAATATGACTATTCATTACTACAACGTAGTGTTGTGGTAACTTACGTTCAAAACTTGAACATGAATTACTATGATTTCATTTCTACTCTAGTAACTAGTCATATTTTTGTAAACCATTATTATTTTGGTCATATTTATTTAATTATTTCAAAAATAATAAAAAGAAACTGAATCTCTTACATCTTACAATCTAATAAGGCTGAATGAAGGTTAGCCTATTTTGGGTATAAATAATTTGTTGGTGGTACTGTGAGCTGTGTTGACATGCATGCCAGGCTTAAATGTTTGTACAATTTAGAATTTCCGTATCTTTTATCTCCCATTCGATGTGCAGCCTGTTATCTCCGTTATTATCCCCCGTTTCCGTTAGTAATGTCCACAAGGCCACAGACCCGCTCACCCACAAGCCCATCTCTCGCTCCATTTTTAGTGCTAGAGGCGCAGAGGCATTCGGTCGCACGCTCGCACACCCCCTGCTCTCATCCCTTCGTCTTCGTCGCGTCTCTGTAAGTGTTGGTTTTTATTTCTCTCTCACGGCCATATCGATTCATCTTATTCAATTGGCAGATGGTTTTCCCCACCTGCTCACACTTTTCTTGGTATGTCTTTTATCCATGTCTGTGATTTTCTGCCTTTGTTTGCACCGAAGATTGGTTGCTTAGGTCTTCCCTTAACCTGGAATTTAACACTCTTGCAGCTATCCATGTTCAACTGTGTCAGATAATTACACATTCTTTAATGTTATTTAACCCCTAAGATTGTTTTCCTCTTTTTTCACCGAATTCTGGTTTCTGATTAAAAAAATTAGGGTCTTCAGAGACCATCGCCCAAAATTTGGGCTGCGCTGTATTTTCATATTCAGAGCATGTTGCGTTGAATTTCTTCCTGTGTGAAAATCATTTAGCTATTGTGAAGTCTTTTGGCATTTACGTGGATTTTTCTTCAACAATAAAAAAAAACTTATTGGTGCAGATTCTTTCTGTATTTCAAGAAATGAATATTTTGCAGTAAAGTCCACAAACATGTGTGTACATGGGGTTTTTACAAGTTCTTAAATCTTAAATCTCTATCTCTACACTTCTATATCAAAGATCATTTATTAATTTGTTTTAGGTGTGTAGATAATGTTGAGGTAACTAGCTATGTAATAAGAAGTTAAAAGATCTCCCTGATAGTGGCTGTATATTAAATAATACGTTGTATTGCATACTGGTGGCTTATAAATGTCTTTATTAAACTTCAAGCAATTAATATTTTATACTATTAATCTTAGTTACTTAATTACTCTACTATAAATAGGTGTGTAATTAGCGCACAATCCCAGTACTATATTCATTGTGGAGCATTTGTGTATTTCATTTACTTTTAAAATTTGTCCTTTTTTTTCAATATTCATTTCAACCTATGTAAAATAGACGAATATGTTATGGAAAATTAAATTTTCTGTTGATTTTAATTTTGCATTCTCCAGGTTGCCTTCCTCATCTTTATTACTTATTTGGTTAATAATGCTTTCGACATTATAACTATACAGAGTTTTCTTCAAGTTGTCTTTCTCATCTTATTAGTTATTTTAATTTCTTAAACTTTAATGTTTAGACTAGAGGAATTGTTCAATGTTTTTAGCCAAGTGTTTTCCACCTGAATGGTAAAATTGTTATCCTCACCGGATTGTACACATGTAATATACATGTGTTTGTTGCTTTAGTTGTCTTTCTTCCATTGTATTTTTCCTGCTACTACCTCAAGCTATATTTGAAGGTGGTGAAGATAAATCAAGTTCTTTTAGTTTTACAAAACTTCAGGAGATGTCACTAGACTACCACTTCACTGTTGAGCAGGAACTCAACATGCTCATTTTTCGGGTTCAATGGGACTGCTGGTATTTGGAGAATACATGCATTAAGTGATGCATGCTGGGGGATGGAAAGATCGAACAACAGTGGAGGACATGGACCTTGCAGTCAGAGCTAGAGCCTTAGGAGATGTAAATTGCTTTTTATTGGTGACTTAGAAGTGAAAAATATACTTCCAAGCACTTTCAAGGCTTACAGATATTAGCAGCACTGTTGGTCTTGCAATCCAGCTAATCTCTTCAAGAAGATGTTCAAAGAAATCATCCTTAGGGAGCGCGTATCTCTATACAAGAAATTCCACTTGGTCTATGCTTTCTTCTTTTTGAGGTAGATCATTGCACACTGGGTTACCTTTTTTTTCTACTGCATTGTCATGCCGACCACTATCATCATACCTGAAGTGCAGCAGCTCACAACGCCAGTAGCCATATATCTTACTGTAACAATAACAATTCTAAATGCAATCTACACAAGGAGGTCTCTCCGATGGGAATGTGCATGCTGCATTGCGCTTGCATGGACCTGTATCATGGGAAGGGCCAAGATTTACATATATCTAATACTGCAGCTTTCTTTACAGTTGGATTTAGTTTAGTTGGAACATCTCCCAACCCCAACTAAACCTCTGCAGGGACATTCATCTTAAAAACTTATAAGCACCAATGATAGTTAGTGCACTTTAGGAATGATAAAAATGTTGGTGTAACAGTAAAACAAGATACATTTGTACAATTTGTTTGATTCATTGTTTTATCAATAAATTTATTTGTCATCCTTACCTCCGTTTAAGTTAACTGCTAAGTTCCAAATTCCAACATGTAAAGAGATCCATTATATTCTTATAAGATGTTTCTGAGCGATCCTTACCCCGCTTATAAGCAAAGAGATCCATCACGTCTCTTTTCATCATCCTTTGTGGGAAGAATTCATAAAACTTGTGTGCAACTTCAAGTAACTTAAATGTACTAATCACTAACATTCCATTGTGTTAATAGTATAAAAGTAACTTTGGGCATCTTCCCCTCGCGCATCGCGCGTTGTACAACTAGTTAGAAGATATGAAGCAAATATCACTGGTGCTCATTGTTAGGCTCCTAATACGCAGAAGAACAGACTCGATGCTCATCCAAATTACATTAATGCTCATTTAAGAGAAACCATGAACTTAATCAAAATTACAAAACTGTCACCAGCTGTATGATATACGCTTCCACAATTTGTACTTGTTATGGGTATTTTTTTTTATAATATTGGACCCCATCATCATCATTAGCGTAGTGCCTCAAAGGCTCCCACACCTTCGATGGGGTAAGGGGATCGAATGTACGCAGTTTTACTCCTATACTAAAGCCATAGAAAGATTGTTTCCGAATGACCCATGGTGAAAATTGCATAGACTGACTGCTACTTCATAACAAAGAAGCGCAGACAGATTAGTAAGCCAATTTGCTTTATTCCATATTTCCATCATATTTCAAGCCAAAAAATATTGAGTTTTTGGCTCCATTGCAAATATGTAAAGTTCTAGTCTCATAAATCATTATAATATCATTTTTCACATAAACTACTAATAATATTCACCAATTTGAACGTTGGGATATACCTATGAGATTAAAATATTCATAATTTTGACGTACAAAAATTAACATTCACAAAATGAAATAATGATCCACCCTTTGACTAAATTTAGAGTGTTCATTTGTCAACTAATGTGAAGTATATATGTTGCAATTATTCTTCAACTATAAGATTTTCCAGTTAGGTCCTCTTTATTAACAGAGTTATTTTCTAGTTTTTTATTTCTATTTTTCATTCTTCAATTTTCTGTTTTCATTTTCTAGTTTTTCAATATCCAGTTTTTTGTTTCCATTTTCTAGTTTTCTACGTAGTATTATATTATGAAAGTAGTTAGGGCATGTTTACTAACAGAGATATTTTTCAGATTTCCATTTCTATTTTTCATTCTCTAATTTCCTGCTTTCATTTTCTAATTTTTCAATCTCCAATTTTTCGTTTCATTTTTTAGTTTTCTATTATATTATGAAAGTAGTTAGGGCATGTTTACTAACAGAGATATTTTTCAAATTTCCATTCCTATTTTTTTTGGGTTTCCATTTTCATCAAATTTTTTCACACAGTTCTATGACTGACCAGAAGACCGAAAGTAAGATCTTAATCCAGAACCAAACCTAGTACAACTGTACAACCCAAGTAGGGTACCAGGTCCCACGTATAGAAAAGTCGGGATTGAAACATGTCTGCCCCGGTCAATCTCAACGGTTAGTTTGACGAATTCTTTTCTCATTTCCCTAATGGCTGACAATTCAACGATTCTTTTAAAATTATTCACTTTAAAATGATTTCAAAAAACTGAGACTGAACCGCCGTGTCATTGACCGGCCCGGACAGGGACCGTCGGGTCGTTGACGACACTGGCCTGGGACTGTCCGGTTGTCGAATCAGACCGAACATTGACCGTCGAGTCATTGGTCGAACAGGACCCACCACTAGAGCATGCAAATTCATTGCAACGACATTACAACATCCGCGTTTTCCAAATTTGGAAAAGTAGTAAAAGTCACTTCTCTAATTCATTAAAGAAAATAGACACATATCTCATTTTTTTTGTTTTGGTAAACACATTTTTCTGTTTTCCCTTCTCCATTTTTTCGGCAATATTTTTGGTAAACACGTAACTTTTGTTTTCGCGCGCTGAATTGT